GCTGCTCTGCTCAATTTGGTCTAGTAGGCGAGCCAAAAATATGTTTTAACTGTCAAATTATAGTTGGTTTAACAATAGATTTTATTCGTTCATTTTCAATTAGTTAATTGTTTTTTTTTGTTAAATTTAGTTTTCGTTACGTTGTTAATGTTTTCAAATATGGCCAATGAAGAAAAATTAGACATGTTAGAAAGTTACTTCGTAGCCCACAGAAACTTTACAACGGCTGCGGAAATTTATGAAAATTAATTTCCTGAACGTCATCAACCAAACGCAAGACATTTTAGAGATCTGATATTAAATTTGCTAAATTATGGAAGTTTTGAAAAACCCAGAAATCATAAATATGCTATTGAAAATGAGGAGAGAATTGATGCTGTATTACATACACTAATAATAATCCCACAGCATCGGTTAGAAAAATTGGTAATGAAACGGATATCCCTAAGTAATCCGCTCATCGAATACTGGACGTTAATAAATATCATCCATACAAACCTAGGATTGTACAAGGTTTATCGGCAAATGATTTTCCCAGAAAAGTAAGATTTTGTGAATGGTACATTCAACATATGCGTGAAAATGCCAATTTTTCCATGACTGACGAAACTCAATTTACCAATTGCGGAGTTTTCAATAGGCATAATACCCATTACTGGGCTATAGAAAATCCAAAACTCATCTTACAAAGAAGATTCCGAACAAAATTTGAATTTAATGTTTGGTGCTGCATAAAATCAGATTTACGTTTAATTATGAAATTATTGTAATTCTTAGTTTCAGGATATCAATTAATTAGACCAATAATTTTTAATTTCAATTTAAATGCAGCACGATATCTTCTGCTCTTACAAGAACAAATAATGCCCGCTGTGAGGGCATCTGTGGGGAACTTTGGTATACCTATGCATGATTGTTGTCCAGCTCATAATGCCGTCGTCGTAAAGAAATATTTGGAAGAAAACTTCCCCAATAGATTAATTGCGAATAGTGCCTACATTTTGTGGCCTGCTAGATCCCCTGATATAGTTCCCCTTGACTTTTTCTTATAGACACATTAAAAAGGAAACTTACTCATTTAAAGCTCCCGCAAGTATTGCAGTTTTAGAAGAAAGAGACCGAAACGCTATGGGTGCAGTGAATAGAAACACATTATTAAGGGCAATAAACTCTCTGCAAAATCGTTGTCAAATGTATTGTGATCATAGAACAACTTCTTTAAATTAGACAGTTTATATCTGAAGCTTGTATTGTAAATTGTGCCTAATATTATCGCAAAATCCTTGTTTTTATATGGTTTTATAAAGTTAAAATAAAACCGACAATAATTTGACAGTTCTAAAACATATTTTTGGCTTGCCCACTATACCAAATTGAGCAGAGCAGCAAAATTAATTAGGAAATTTTCAGATTTGTTTATTTCACCATTCATTTGAAAGAAAGTACCATGTTGTGATAGATTTTTGAAAAGGAAATTAACAATTCTATTTAATGTAATAAAAATACAATATGGCGTCCATAACAAAAAACAAAGTTAAAGTCAATATCTCAAAAACAGAAGGAGATATTCTTTTGTTTTATTTTTTATTGTAAAGACCTTAAAAAGGTGCCTATAGAATGTTTAGACCAAAATACTGTATGTTCTCAAATAATCGAGATACGAAGGGCTGTCAAAACCCACCATTTTGGTTTTTCGCGATTTATTCAAAAACAAAAAATAACTGACAAAATGTAATAGCAGTTCTGAAATGGCAATAGAATCCTGAGAAACATTGCCCATTAAACCAATTTTGTAGCTCTTATAATAACCGAGATAGCAATACATGCAGCACCAATGTGGGACATAGTGTATACAGGATATCTTAAATTATACCGGGTGTCCGCGCGAAAACTTTAAAAAGAATTATTTCTGGTGTTTTAAAATATATCGACTTGAAATTTTGAAAGGTCATTAAGGAAATAGGGGGTAAATTAATAGTGTATAAGATACCACTCCAACGTGATATTTGCCGCACCCAGCCACCCCCGGTTCAAAAGTTTAAATGACACCCTGTATTTTTTTTACATATTCTGAAAGAGCGTAGTTTTTTTAGTATCTCTATGTGAAAAAATTACTTAATTACATAATGAACTTTGAAAGATATTTACAGCTAAAGGTTCAGATACCAGATATTCAAATATCGAAAGCAAAAAATAATAGCAAGCCATGAAAGCTGCTTCGTTGCTTGAACTGTCAAATAATATTGTTTGTGACACTTCTGTTTATTCGTTAGTACAAAAGTTTTCGAAAAAATTTGACTTAGTTTAAATTAAATAGCTAAAAAAATAGAAAAATGGTTTACAGTTTGGAAGAAAGAACTGAAATTGTAGTTTTATATGGGATTGCAAACAGAAACTATTCGCAGACGGCAGCATTATTTAACGAAAACCATCCCAACAAAAATGTTTCTGCTGTTTATGTAATTAATCTAATACAAAAATTTTTTGAAACTGGATCGGTAAATAATAAAAAACGTGATATGAATAATCGTGGAGCACGAGATGAAGCAACGCAAGTTGCAGTTCTTGGTCACCTAAATTTAGACCCACAGCTTTCAGTTAGAAAATTATCAGAAGCTTCGGGAGTGGCAAAAACAACGTGCCATAAAATATTAAAATTAAATAAAATGCATCCTTATAAAATACAGCTTCATCAAGAGTTGGGCGACGATGACTTCGATAGAAGAGTCCAATTTTATGAAACTATGACAGGCATGATTCGGCAAAATAGAAATATTTTGCGAAATATTTGTTTCAGTGACGAAAGTTGCTTTTCCTTAAATGGTTTCGTAAATAGACACAATTGTCGATATTGGAGCGATGTTAATCCCCACGTTTTCCGAGAAGGCCATACGCAACGTCCCCAAAAAATTAATGTATGGGATGGAATTCTAAATAACCAAATAATTGGTCCAATTTTCTATCACGAGAATTTAACTGGGCCTAGATATCTCGAGGTTTTAGAAGAATTAATACATCCTCTTATCATTCAGTGGTTGGAAGAAAACTTAGATCAAATGCAGGAGGATCAGTTATACTTTCAACAAGACGGAGCTCCCCCTCATTACTGTTTAGAAGTAAGGCAATATTTAAATACCGTTTTTACAGGACAATGGATAGGTCGTAGGGGTCCTATTGAATGGCCAGCTCGCTCCCCAGACTTGACCCACTGTATTTCTTTTTATGGGGACATTTGAAGTCTGTTGTTTACAGGACACCACTACAATCCATTGATGATTTGCGTAATAGAATCATAGAGGAATGTAGAGATTTAACACCACATGTCTTTGAAAATATTCGGAACGCTTTCGAGAATAGACTGTACTATTGTTTAAATGTAAACGGTGAACATTTTGAACATTTGATTTAACTAAAAAAATAAAAAGAGTCCTTACTTTAGTTTATAAAGCGAAATTTTGTTGGTCTATAAGAATACCTATTTTTGTGATAAGTTGTATTTTTTTGTGATAAGTTATATTTTTTTGGATAATTAGATTTTTTTGTTTCTATCTGCTTTAATTATTTCGAAATTTGTCTACTGTCCAAGGTTACTAGTTCTTTTTTTTAATATCTGGTATCTGAACCTTTAGCTGTAAATATATTTCAAAGTTCATTATGTAATTAAGTAATTTTTTCACATAGAAATACTAAAAAAACTACGCTCTTTCAGAATATGTAAAAAAAATAAAGGGTGTCATTTAAACTTTTGAACCGGGGGTGGCTGGGGGCGGCAGATATCACGTTGGAGTGGTATCTTATACACTTTTAATTTACCCCCTACTTCCTTAATGACCTTCCAAAATTTCAAGTCGATATATTTTAAAACACCAGAAATAATTCCATTTAAAGTTTTCGCGCGGACACCCGGTATAAAACGGAGACAGGATAAAGATCTCATAATTTTATGCAAAAAGGTTCATATTTACAATGGTCTGATTTCCAAAATAAGCAAAGTTACTGGTTGATTATTATAAGACATAAAAATAATGATTGATGTTTTGTTATGATCTAAACGTATTTTAGAAATTTATAAAGAGTTATTTTTTTTTATTTTAAAATCTTGTTGAGTTAATTCCGTAGTGTTAACATAAAAAGTACAATATTTTTCGCAATTTAATAAAACCGAGGAAATCGCATTTTTCTTTTTTTTTGGGCCGTAAGCCCCAATGGTTTTTAAATGTTTAAATTAATACGTTTACCTAACTTGTAAAGTAAATTTTTGGATTTTGCGGTCATATTGTAGTTCACGTTACGCTCTATGCAATGGTACCAATTTTTTGAAAATAGTGCCATTCTGCACGGTTTAATTTTCGATTACTTCCGGTTATAGAATCTCCAAAATATTACTATTCAATTCACTAACAATTCAGCTTGTAACATTTAGTCCTTTACAGAATCATTCCTAAAGCAGTTTTGTTAAAAATAGCACCATACTAATGCTATGTAATAATGCTGAAAATCCTGTGTGAATTTTATATAAATACATATTTACAGTGTTAACCTAAATAAAAATTACTTGGGTCAAAAAAAGTTTTCGGGAACTTTGGAGCCCTCTACTTTTTGTCTTTACCATCGTAGCGTAGTGACCCAATGAGATAAATTGTGGAAAATATTATTAAGTACAACTTTTGTATGAAACATTTTCTACTACGGCTCATGAATTAAAATCGTGTGAAAAGTTTTTTTTTTTAAACACACCTTTTCTTTCCTATTTTTCGTTTACTACGTTCCCTACAATAATTCTTTTTTTTGAGTTCTTCAAACAGATACCGACATTTTTCTGTATTAATGGTATTCCTTTTACTTGACATATCGTTTAATACGTATCAAAGCAATGCGGATACGTAACCCATCCATCCGTACTAAGCCAGCCGATGCAAGTTCAACTTTCATTTTCGTTCGAACAAAGTGCACGGCTCGCTCCTTGGAACATTGCATCAATTTCATGAATCTCAGCCCCGCGACGATCCGCGGAGGAGCGAGGATCGCCTTAGCCGCGGCGACGACGGCAATTTCTCCTCCATCGTCAGTTAACGTTCGCGTTCCGATTGGAGAAAGACGCTCCTGCTGCTGGCTGATAGCTGTTGAATAATGCACTTGGAGTCGATGTGAGTGAACCTGGTGATTGTGAAATAGTAATAATAAGTGATGATGGTGTGCCGCAAGGATTATGTCTTCCTGCTTAAGGTAAGGATATACGGTCCGTTAAATATTGTTTACTCGCAATCGGTTAATAATCTGTGGATTTGAATTCTTTAAAACGGTGGGGAAGTGATTTAATGATTATTTTACTTTCGCGGCTAGCCGGGAAAGTAGTTTCCCGGCTAGCATGTGTTACTTCCTTACCCGCAAATGTCACTGTCATTTTAGTATTTAAAAATAACAGTAACATAACTATTTAGGATTGTAAATACCTTGGCCATAATGTGTATGGTTTGTTTTGTTTACATAATTCACAAAAAAGGTCTCTGAGCAATTACTATAGTCTATTTTAATGTATGAAAGCATTTCTAATGGCAAAACTTAGTACGGTCATTTTAAATATTTTTACAGAATAATCTAAATATTTCCTAAAATTGTAATAAATGTACCTGAGCTATTACAAGTTTTGGGTCTTTTATTGGTCCTTTATAAACATAAGCTGTACAGAACAATAGAAAAAGGTTTGGACAGGCCAAAAGCCCTGTGTATTAAAGATTACATAACCGTATCTTAAGATTATTTTCAATAAGTACCTATTTGCCAATTTTGTTTTATTTTAATTCCAAGAATTTCTTGCAGTAATCGAATTATAAGTAGATAAATACCTTCCCAACAAATTTCACCGAAAATACGATTATAGGTTTTCCATTTAGTAAGGAGGTCCAAGTTGTGTATTCTTGACAGTTTACTGAATGTCGTTTAGTTGTAACTTGCAAGTTGCAGTGTGAATTTTAGTGTGATCATGGAAAATTTGGAAGGGCCGCGTAAACGACAAAAAATCGGTCCTTTAACAGTTAATGAAAAACATTAATATTGAATTGTTTTAAATCATTTACAGACAAACATTTATGTAAAAGTGTTGATGACACAGTTGAATTAGTTAGTAGTACGCTTGGTGTTGGGAAATCTACGATTTACAGAGTTGTTAAAGAAGAGAAATGTGGCGAGTTTCAAACAGCACGTAAAGCTCCAGGAAAACCAAAATTTCAATTAGAAAATCTTCTGAAAGAAAGACTTCGTAGGAAAGTGCATGCGTTCTTCTTTAGAAAAAATTTCCGACAGTAGACAAAGTTCTTGCCACGGTTCGAGATGATAAGGATTACCCTGAAATGAATCGAAGGACACTATGGAAACTTTTAAAAGAAATAGGTTTTCTATGGAAAAAGCATTCCAGAAAGTCTATTTTAATAGAAAGAAGCGATATTGTAGTATGGAGAAGAAATTACCTAAGGACTATAAAAGAAATGAGAAACCAAAGAAGAAATATATTTTATTTAGATGAAACATGGGTCAACGAGGGACATAAACCAAATAAATTTTGGCAAGATGAAACTGTTACAAGTCGAATACAAGTTTATTTAAATAATTTATCTACTGGTTTAAATCCACCATCAAGAAAGGGGCGCAGACTAATAATAGTACACATCGGTAGTTCAAACGCTTTTGTTAAAGATGGTTTATTGACTTTTGAATCTACTCGTACTACTACTACCATGAGGACATGAATGCTGATGTCTTTAAAGAGTGGTTCGAACAAATTATAGATCTTCTTCCTCAGAACTGTATAATAGTAATGGATAATGCAAGTTATCACTCGGGACTTATAGAAAAAATGCCCACAACCAAGTGGTTAAAAAAAGATTTACAGAATTGGCTAAATTAAAAGAATATTAAGTTCCATCCCGGTTCTGTGAGAAAAGAACTGTATCATTTGTGTTCCCTTCATAAAGAGAAATTAAAAAAATATGAAATTGATGAAATTGCAAAAAATCGTGGGATGACGGTGGTTAGATCACCACCATATCATTGCGAAGTAAACCCGATTGAACTGATATGGGCACAGATAAAGGGAGAAGTTTCAAGAAAAAATAATTCTTTTAAAATGAGTGATGTTAAACAGTTGTTTTTGGAGGCTGTAAATAATGTGAAGCCTGAAAACTGGGAAAAGGCAGTAAATCATACGATTAAAGAAGAAGAGAAAATGTGGAAGTTGGACAATATTACTGATGAAATGATCGAGCCACTCATTGTAAATATTGGTTGCGACAGTTCATCTTCTGATTTCAATTCTGATTTGGATTTGTAGGTAAGAAGTAGTTTTCATATTAAAATTATTATTTATGAACGTAACGTTATTTAAAAGTCAAAGTTTAAACCCTTATACCTACATAACCCGTTTGACACAATGTTCTTAACATACCTTGTGGAAAAATAAAACATTTTAGAAAAAATTGCACTTTTTTACCTTCAGCTATTTAGAAGTTATAATCAGGTTTAATAGGTGAAAATATAAGGGCATACTTGAGGAATAACTTCAAAAAATATTTTAACTGTCTACTAAAAGAAGTTGTACGCTTATGGATTACGAACGCTTTATTATTTTAATACTCTCTCATACATAAAAATAGACTATAATAAAGGGAGCATGAAAACGAGTTTGTAGGCGATTGTTGTATTAGCAACATTTGTAGAGGAAGTGAGGAAGCGGGCACAAGGGGGAACATCCTTCTTGTTCAGTGGCGTATCATTTATCTATAAAAACTCACATTGTCCAAACGTTTTAATTGTAAAAAAAAACTAAAAAAATTGCTAATTTTACTATTTTTAAAATGAATACCGTCTTATATGTGTCTAATGCAGGAAATGAAACAAAATCACTGTAAAGGTCTAATTTTTTCAATTGAAGAATAAAACCTTAAAATCAATTTTATTAAAAATAAATACAGGAGCGACTAGTTTCGGCCTTACAGGAACATCTTCAAGCCTGTAATACACTAATCTTTAATTATTATAATAGGTTGGTCACTTACGAATAACATTAAATAGTATCAACCACAAAAATGGATCCATATTGTAGCGTTACAGCATTATAGAATTAAAACTGTGAAAATAAAAGAGCAGTGCAAACGTAACTAAAAATAAGAAAACTGAGTACGGAATCTACAAGAGAAGAGATAAGAATGAGTAATTACGAATGCATTTAAATTGCTCAGGATAACAAATAAAGCTGATAATGTAGTGGTATAGTCCCCGTCAAAGAAGGTCTGGATATGTTAAAGAAGACGGCGTTTTCTCTATAAATCTGGAAAATGTAAGGATGTAGGGAAGACGAATCTTGCTGGCTCAGGTGTAGATGGCTAGAAAAAGGAGCGTGTAGATGAAAGTAAATATCGTCACTTTCGTCTAATTTTTTATTCTCATTCACCGTTTCGGCTTTATTTTCGAAATTAATTTTTAAAATTAAATAAAAGTAATCATTCATACAAGCATATAATAAAACAACATGAATTCATTATATTTAATAAGTTAATAAACGTTTGTTTCAATGAAAAAAACATATATGTGAATATAAAAAATCTATAAATAGATAATATTAATATCAAAATCAATTAGAAAATACAACAGATAATAAAATGAAATAAATTTATATAAGTACATATAAAAAGTTAATAACATACCTTCTAAAAGTAACACATTTTAAGTAGATAAATGTTTAAAGAGTTTATTCCTGAACATAACTAATCTAACGTTTTCCCCCTTTTTAATATTATGAGGGTTGTTGTAGTTGAAATGAAAATTATAATTTATTTTGGTCCTAATAAAAATTTAAACATAGGTTATCAAAGATTAAAATACATAATAGAATTTTATAATCTTAAATCGTTATCAAAAATTATTAATGGTAAAATTTTAAACAATAATTAGATTCTTAAACAAATTTCTAGTTTTTGTTTTGCAAAAGACTTTTTGTCTTCTTCGGTTGCCTCTGCCACTTTTCTTTTAGTAGTTTCGTTAAGAATTTTCCTATAGAAACCAGTAGAACCATCAATTGGTTGGTAAAATTTTGATATTTTGGGTCTGGTAAGTCTTGTTAAACTTTCTTCTTAGGAAGCTGTAACCTTATGAAGAATAAAAATTTAATGTTAGATCAAAAGCTGTTAATTGAGAATTATATTTGCAAAGGCCGTTTTAATAATATTTTCAAAAGTTCTTGGAATCGTTGTTAACAGAAACCTGCAAAAATATATCATTTTATTCCTAAAATATAAGATATCACACAATGCACATTCATATAATATCATTGTGCTAGAAAAATACTAGGTAGGCACTGAGACAATTTAACAAAGTATTTCGAGAAACTCAACTTTTAATGTCATCATTGTACTTTTTTATTGCTAAATTATTAATAATGTCATTTTGTGTAGTTCGTTGTGATTTGTATAATATATATTATAAAAACCTATCGTCCATATTAATGTGCCAAGTTTTTTTAATAATTATGTCCTTATTATAGTAAAAACACATTTAAACACATTTTTAAAGTTTTCTGGATTTCTGCTTTAAATTATCGTACAATTGAACTGACTATATATAATGTCCACCAAGGCATCAGAATTAATTTTAAATAATTTAATTAAATGAAAAAATTTTGACCAAAGATTTGTTTATAATAAATATCATATGTTTATTTTAATAGGTTAACATTCTCTGCTAATGTCACTGAACTAAAACTAATTCCGTGGTCAAGTGTGGCAATGTTCGTTTGTATATACTTTTGGTCTTTGACATTTAGGGTGTCAGAATATTAGTGGTTCTATGAGTTAGCTGAAGGCTTAGAGAATCGATACCACCTTCATGAAGCGACCGTACAATTTTAGCGACATGTTTCTAATTCTAAACATGTGATTGATCAAAATTTTTGGTCGAAGTTCCGAATGTTTCTGTTTTCATAAATCAAATATGTCATGATAAGTCAAATATGTCATTTCCGTTAAGGTTTTTGTTGGTGATATGAGATTATAAATAGTCTATTAGTGAAAAGAGGGTATTCGATTTCTGTCAGTGTTCGTCTTGAGTTAAGGACGCCGTCCTTCCTTTTTCGGCCAGTGTTCATCTTAAGTAAGAAGGCATTTGCCCCGTTGCACAGTGAATCGGACATATGAGGAAATAGGTAAAAAATCATATTTTGTGCACGGTTGAGCCGA